GCTCCATCCGTGTTAAAATATATTTTTAAACTAACATCCTACAGTATTTTTACAGTCTTTATTTTACAGTTAAAATATATGTTTATTAAATAAAGTCTAATGTTACAACTAATCGGGGATCCCTTTAAAACAAGTTATTTTATTTCACTGGAATTGATCTCTGTAGATGGTTTTGACTTGCGTAAAGTGTAACAAGAGGTTTAGACTACAAATGAGAAAAGTATACTTGGTAAGATTTTATATTTTTGCAGTGTTCCCAAAGTTACGGCTGTGTATGGAGAAGCACTTGTGGTTTTCAGACACTAAAAAGCATTTTATCCACAGTGAGGTGCCCCCCCCTCCCTCCCCCCTCTCCCCTTGGCAGTGTTCACCCGCTGACTTTTGGAGGAACAATCCTCTGCATGACCAGATCACACTACCTTCCTTCCCTCCAGTGGGAAACATGGAGCTATGTGATGGAATCACGCGGGAGTCAGAAAATCCTGGTAGTCATGCGCTAATCCGGTATTTAAGGTCGGAGCTCCAGTGGTCCGAGGGGGAAAGAGAAGGAAGGGGTCTGTGTGGGTTTACCAGAAGGGAAGGTTTTACATCTGGCTTGGTGAAAAAAAAAAAGTCGAAGAAAGTTTGTCCTCACGGGTGATTTCCATTCGTRAGTTTAAAATTTTTGACAAACAAGTTTGGGATCATGTGGCAGTTTTTGGTTCTGGTGGGCGCTGCTGTCGTGAGCGCGCAGTTCCCCAGGGAATGTGTGACCCCGGAGGGACTCAGGAGTGGACAGTGCTGTCCATCCCCACCGGGATTTCCAAATGACCCCTGTGGCTCCAGTGCGGGGCGCGGACAATGCGTGTCCATCGCGGCGGACGCTCGCCCGCACGGGCCCCAGTACCCACACGATGGACGGGACGACAGGGAGCGATGGCCCATTCGYTACTTCAACCGCACCTGTCAATGCAACGGAAACTTCAGCGGTTTTAACTGCGGCCGATGCAAACATGGATGGACGGGGGCCAACTGTGATCAAAGAGTCTCTGTGGGTAAGTGTTGGACCAATTACAGGTCATCAATTTGTTTAGAATTAACAAAATATTTGCACTTTAACACAAAGAAATTACAAAACCAAACCCTGGCTAGGTGTGGCTTCCACAGATCTCTGTACAGCCCTGCCCAGTGTCAAACCAAGGCCTAAACTTAACCTCCGTCAGCACTTTCCCARTAATCCCAACCATGATTCTAAAAGACTTTCCCAAAAACTAAACAATAATCTTAAACTAGATTTAGACACTTTCCAAGTATTCCCAGCCAAAAACTTGTCATTTAATACATTTCCCAATAAACCAATCCCCAAACTTTTTTTTAGCAACTATACTATTACATATACTGTATACAATTCCAATAATTCCAGCCCAAATGTTGCTTTTTTATTCACCTTTCCAGTCATCCCAGCTCTACAAGTTTACATTTTAAATCAGCCTGAAACCTACCTCCTCCCATCTCTCTCATGTATACTCCCCACCCCCCTTTTCTTTCTTGCAATCCACACAAAACATAAAAAACAATACAAGTACCTACCTGGTTGTTTTTATGATACCAGACAAAATACTCATCAAATTCCCTGTGCAGTCTGGGAATTTTGATTCATTTATGCATCAAGAATGTAAAAAAAAAACAGGTACTGAAGTCTCAGTTCAATCCTGTTAATTTCTATTCCAAATCTTGAGCTGCTGTCGAGCGTCTCAATCCTGTTGCCTTTCACCCCTGCAGTGAGGAGGAACGTGATGCAGCTCAGCGCCGACGAGAAGCGCGCCTTTGTGAGCGCACTGGACCGGGCCAAGCGCACGGTGCACCCCGACCTGGTGATCGCCACCCGGCACTACTCGAACATCTTCGGCCCCGACGGGAACACCACGCAGTTCGAGAACTGCACCATCTACAATTACTTCGTGTGGTCCCACTACTACTCGGTCAGCAAGACGTTCCTGGGCCCCGGCCAGGCCAGTTTCGGCGGGGTGGACTTCTCCCACGAGGGCCCGGGCTTCGTCACCTGGCACCGGTTTCACCTGCTGCAGCTGGAGCGGGACATGCAGGTGAGATCTGGCACACAACCGAGAAGACTGTACCCCGACTCTTTTTGTTTCTTTCACTTTTCTCTTTTCATCTGGTTGTTTATTTTGCGGCGTGCATTTCTCCCCACAACTGTGTCGGCGATGAAATTCTAATTTACTTAGCAATGTCACGCCTTAATGAGCGAGCCAAACGCGACTTTAAGCATTTTATGGGCTGAGGTTGATCTGCTTCCRTTCGGAACAAAACAACAGTACGCTCATGAGTGAGAGACTTTATTAGACGGTACAGTGGGCAGTTTTAATAATCCCTTTCAGTACAACTATTACATCCATCCAGTGGCTTACAATTAGGAGCAGAAAATGAGGCTGCCGTGTGGATTTGTCTGGCAGAGTGTCGAACTCCCACAGAGAAACTCTGTCTTTATCCTGCGCAGGTTTGTGYTGGAGCTCCCTAATTAGGTGCCTTTTGTTCAAACCTGGCAGAGTTTGAAGGAGAGCGCTTTTTTTTTTTTTGCACCTGAATCGTGATACATTGCAGCCTCTCCCAGGAAATAAAAAAATACATATATAATGTGCGAGCCTCTGAACTGWGAGGCTGATTATTTTCTTCTTCTCAGGAAAAGTACCCGTCTTGAGCTCACACTTTTTGACTTGTTTCCATAAAAATAGCACAGAACTTCGAGATCAAATGACGCCGCTCAATAATATGGTTTTCTTTTGCAAAATTTTTAAAACTAATTACGTACAGGAGCGTTTCTAAACTTGTAACAGYCACATGTCTTGTTTATTTACTCAATGACGTATAACCCAATGCAACTTTTGATCCAGTGCTTCTATTTATACCGTATGAACAGGACATGCTGCAGGATCCATCCTTTGCCCTGCCCTATTGGAACTTTGCCATCGGTGGAAACACATGTGACATCTGCACAGATGACCTGATGGGAGCCAGGAGCAGTTTTGACATGAATTCCTTAAGCTCCAACTCCATCTTCTCGCAGTGGAGGGTTGTGTGYGAGAGCGTAGAGGACTATGACACGCTGGGAACCATCTGCAACAGTAAGACGCCTTATRGTAGCCCTGTTGGGTCGTCGTCAGTCTCTTTTCCCCCTAAATGATCTTAACGTGAAATAAGAATGATAAATGTCTGCTCRGTGGTGCRTTTGTTTTTCGTTTTCAGGCACRGAGACATCTCCCATCAGGAGAAATCCAGCCGGGAATGTGAACAGGCCCATGGTCCAGCGTCTCCCCGAGCCCCAGGACGTCGCGGACTGTCTTCAAGTTAACACTTTCGACACGCCGCCCTACTACTCCACCTCCTCTGAAAGCTTTAGGAACACCATAGAAGGCAAGCTAGCCTCTGTTATTTACACATCCTTCTTGACAGCGTTCCCTAACAACTATTCATGCTGTTTTGGTAGGTTACAGCGCCCCCAAAGGGAACTACGACCCCATAGTGAGAAGCCTCCACAACTTGGCCCATTTGTTCCTGAACGGAACTGGAGGACAGACTCACCTGTCCCCCAACGACCCCATCTTTGTTCTGCTCCACACCTACACCGACGCCATATTTGACGAATGGTTGAGGAGACACGGTCCAGGTGGCGTTACGACTAAATCCAACCTTGATTTCATGTGTGAAAAAAATTCACGCAGTGAGCGTTCAAGCTAACTTGAAGTATTTTTAACAGATTCGTCTGTGTATCCTGATGAAAATGCCCCAATTGGTCATAACAGGGGCTACAATATGGTGCCATTCTGGCCTCCGGTGACTAACTTTGAGATGTTCGTGACTGCTCCTGAAAATCTCGGCTACTCTTACGAAGCTGAATGGCCAGGTTTGAATTTTAAATGTCCTTTTAAAGATTTGAGGTTTTTTTTTATTTAAAGTAACAGTTATTTGCTTCTCCCCTTTCAGGTCAACCTTTCTCTCTGACTGAAATCATAACCATGTCGATAGTTGCCGCCCTTGTGGTCGTCGCAATCATTTTTGCCGCCACCACGTGCGCCGTGCGAGCCAAGTCCAAGATGGAGGACCACCAGCCTCTGCTCGGAGATCAGTACCAGCGTTACGACAATGAGAAAAGCCAATCTGTGGTCTAATAAGGCTGCCTTTTTGTTGTTGTTGTTGTTGTTTTTGTAATAACATCACCATGCAGTTTGCTTGTCTGAAGACACTATTCTTGCAAAAAACTGCTTTAGTTTACACATATAAAGTGCAGTTGTAGTAAATCTCCCACTCATGGGGGAGAATATCTCCAGGGTTAGAGGTAACCAGGTGAATTTTAAAGGTGATCCTGAGTGTTTTGCATATTCTCTTTAAAGTTATAAAAAACTATATAACATGAAATTAAAAATGTAAGATAAACTCCAAGATCTAACTTCCACCACTGTCTTCTTCTTAATGTGCCATAATGTCCACCAGAGGGTGTTGTAGTTCAATTTCTGAACCTTTGAGCAAAGTTGTGCCTTTTTTATGACTTGTGTAAACTGATTAATCTTGCATTGGTATAAAAAAATATTAAAGAAATAAACTGGGATGCTAATTCAAAACCAGATGTAGCTAGTGTGTATGTTTGTTTTTGCTTTTACTAACAAAAATTGAACTGTTTATTCATTAATGTTATTGTATGTATAATGTTTGTGAAAATGGGTGCACATTAAATAAAAGTCTTTTATTTGACACATGGATGCACACAAACATTTAAGAGGAGGAGGGACAACATAAGCTTAATTTTCGGGCTGCAGTTTTTTCTGATTAATGAGCAATAATTTGTCCCTAATGTTTTGGTTTTTTTCGCCATTTTCCTGCAAAGGTGTCTGGTTTCAGGGGAGGTTCTTCCTTATGGGAGGTCCCCACGGTGAGCATGCTTGGATTTAAACCGGTCCGGAGTTTACCGCGAGCTGTTGGCGTCTCATCAAACGAGCGCGTGCAGCTGTGGATATATTATTACTCGCGCGCGGCTCACCTGTCTGCTCCACCATGGACGAGAGCAGCAACAACAACAGCAGCGACTTCTCGCCCGAGTTGAAGGACTTGGAGACGAAGCTGGGTCGGAAAGTTCCGGACGGTCTCGTGCGGTCTCTTCTTGCGGGAGGAAAACGCAACGACAAGTCGCCTCATTTAACGAGCTGCAAGTTCCGCGCGGATTCCACGGATTTGGACAGACTGCAGAGTAAAATGTTGCTCCTCAGACAGGAAATGGTGAGTTTGAGTCAGGTTAGAGCAGAGCTGCTTGATTCAAAAATAAAATCATGGCTCTTTTATTATAGCTGTAGGATTCAGTGTTTATTATGGCAAAGGCGGGCGATAGCGTTTTTTTTCTTGCACGTGTCTGCGCGTCTGTTAGCAAAATATCTCCTGAACCACTGGAGGAATTTTGTTAAAACTTACAGGAAGTAACTATCGGATGTACTTCTACAAGTTATTAACCTTTGGAGTCAACCTCTTTAAAGAAGGACGCCACAGCAAGCTGATTTTATGAAACATAAAAGTAGCAACAAAACAGTCAATTTAATAAATATTGACCTAAATTTTAGGGTGGTAGTAGCTGAGACTGATCCCCAACCTTGCTGTCATTGCTAGCAAATAAATCAGAAGCGTAGTTCAGTTTTTTKTCTTTTGCCAGTAACTAGCAGTCAGTTCTCTGTTAGCAAAATTTGTCAAAAAGGACTCWCTGGATTTTAATGAAACTTTCAGGTATTATTCCCTGGATGGGCATCTACAACTGATTAACTTTTGGAGCCAGCCTGTTTAAAGATGACCACCTCAGCCATCTGATTTTACAAAACACAAAAATGGTTGTAACTCTGTCAGGTTTWGGAACAATTCTCCTAAACTTAGGTGTGGTAGTAGCTGAGAGTCATGCACAAATCACAATCTTTCAAGCGTTGCTTAAGATCTTTACCTAAAATAGTGACATTAAGTGTCATCGATCAAGTTTTTCTGTTAACAAAATATTCCATGAATCACTTGCTGTTTTTTTTTTTTATCTGCAACAAGTTGTCTTAAAAACTTGACATTCAGTTGATCAAGTGTAGGACGATGATTGGAGCGAATTATCTTCAAACAGATTAGATTAGCTCCTTTTAGTTCAGCGTCAGGCCTTTTGATTTGCTTGTTTTCTGTGGTTTGAAAGCTTATAACTGGTTRTAATGAAGTTTAAACAAAAAACAAAGCTGCTGTGTGCAGAGGGGCCTTTGTGTGTCAAACCAGCTGCCTCTACGCATCACATCACTGACAGGATGTTGCAGCTGCCTTTGAGTGGGGAATCCCTCTGCCGGACTCCACCACGTCCCGTCCACTTGCACCCACACTGAACAGCTCGGTTTGTCCTGGCAGAGTGTTAAATCAATGGTGGCTCTATGTAAAGCAGCCATATCTTCTTTTTTTTTTTTTATCATAGACCAAAAAGCCTCTGGTTCATGTGACCAAACAAAGACTGATAGTCTAAACAACAAAAGGACTTGGTGTTCTGACCATGAGACAACATGTTAACACTTCTCAGACAAAATGATGTGTAGCTTGTTGACATTTAATGATGTTAACACCTGGCTAGCAACAAGCTAGTAATTCTTATTCTTCTTAAACGGACCAATTTACAACATTTTCTTATACGTAATATAAGTAATAGGGCTGCCACGATTGATCGATGAATCGACGACTAATCGATTATTAAAATAATCGATGACTAATTTAATAATCGATTAATCGTTTTCTTTTTTTTTT